GCTGCTGCAGCAGTGTTTGTATTATCAGCCACCTCTCATCCTCTCTCTTAGGCCCCAGACAATAAGGAGGTACCTGGGAATCCAGACAGCATTCTCTGCCAGGGGTGTTCTGGCAGCCGGGGCTAGAGGTGCTGACTGAGGTAGTTCAGGAATTGTTTCTGTATTTCTGAAGCCATAGTGGACAAGGACAAAGTGAAGAACTACCAAAAGCCTTTGCTTTAGACTGCTGAATGGAGCCCAGCAGGAGGCTTTTAGCTAGGAAGCAGATTTCATATGTGTTTATGTGTTTAGGGATTTCACCAGATTGTTCTCTTTCCTAATCTGGACTCATACTTTATTGGATACTGATCGTATTAATTAGGCTTTTAAAATTATTTTCTTGGCTGGGAAGGTGGCTCAGTGGTAGAGTGCTTGCCTTGCATGCATGAGGCCCTGGGTTCAATTCCTCAGCACCACATAACCAGAAAAGATGGGAAGTGGCGCTGTGGCTCAAGTGGTAGAGTGCTAGCCTTGAGCTGAAGAGCTGAGGGACAGTGCCCAAGCCCAGAGTTCAGGCCCCATGACCAAAAGAAATTATTTTTTTTGGTTTTGAAATTACTGTTTAATCCAAAATTTGGATTACTTTGTTTTTGTCCTGAGGCTTGAACTCAGGGCCTGGATGTTAAAGCCAGTGGGCTCTGCCACTTTGAACCAGCTCTGCTTCTGGTTTATTTTTGGTGGTTAATTGGAGATGAGTGTCACAGGGACTCTTCTACCCTGGCTGGCTTCGAACCAGAATTCTCAGATCTCAGCCTCCTGAGTAGGATTACAGGCATGAGGCCCTAGTACCTGATTTATGTATTTATTTTGAGGGGCAGTAGAAGAGTTTGAACTCAGATCTCCTAATTTGATGGACAGATGCTATACTTTTTGAGCCACATTCCTAGCCTGGGATTAATTTTAAAATTTATAATGCTGTGTTACAGCGTAGTTACTAAAAATCCAAACTTGAAGTGCATTAAGGGGCTATTAATGTTTAATTTTTTTAATATGAAGAGGAGAAACCTTTTTGGTGAAGTTCAATGGAAATTTTCATAACTTAAGGTTGTAGCATAAAGAAACAGTATAATTCTTTATTTAAAAGTCTCCCTCTGCAGAATTGGCAGATAGTGGAGTATCTTCCTCATCTTGCTAGGAGCCCTGTTTGGATATTCCTGCTGTTTTAAAGTGAGTAAAAGTTCCCCATGTTCAGGTTGGATTTAAGTAACCTGTTTATCTTTGAATGTCTTTATCACTTTGTTCTCTGTTGCTGCCTACCCAACCTCTTGCTAGACTGCTTTTGAACTGTATACTTAATGAAGGAAGTTAATCTGAAAGTTGATATGCTTAAAAGTTTTACAGATATGTAGAGCTTGGTAAGTTTTGTGTGAAGCAATTTCATGCAGTTTTGAAGGAAAAAAAAACTGTTTTTGGACTGTTTTTCCATTTTGTAGAAATACAGTTTGTTGGGCTGGGAATTTGGCTCAGTGGTAGAGGGCTTGCCTTGCATGCATGAAGCCCTGAGTTCGATTCCTCAGTACCACATAAGCAGAAAAATGCCAGAAGTGGCGCTGTGGCTCAAGTGGTAGAGCACTAGCCTTGAGCTGAAGAGCTGAGGGACAGTGCCCAGCCCCATGACCCCTCCCCCCAAAAAAAACAAAAAGGATTGAAGGGCATTTAATAGCAGTGAGCCAAAAAAAAAAAAAATAGCAGTGAGCTAATGCAATATTCATTGAGGAGATGAATGGAGTCTTTTTTTTTTTTTTTTTTTAATGGGTCCGGTCATGGGGCCTGAACTCTGGGCCTGGGCGCTGTCCCTCACCTCTTCAGCTCAAGGCTAGCGCTCTACCACTTGAGCCACAGCGCCACTTGCGGCTTTTTTCTTTTTGCTTATGTGGTGCTGAGGAATTGAACCCAGGGCCTCAGGCATGCAAGACAAGTGCTCTACCACTGAGCCACCTTCCCAGCCCCTGGATGGAGTCTTTTTGCAGAGCAGTTTGGCATCAAGAATGACCACATTGCCGGGCACCAGTGGCTCATGTCTGTAATCATAGCTATGCAAGAAGCTGAGATATAAGGAGCTTGATTTGAAGAAGTCAGCCACTCAGGAAAGTCCATGAGTCTCTTATCTGTAATTAGCTACCAGAACACTGGAAGTAAGAGCTGTGGTTCACATGGTAAAGTGCCAGCCTTGAGCACAAAAGCTCAGGGACAGCGCCCAGGCGCTTAACTCAAGCCTTTGGACCAGCACAAAAAGAAAAAAAGAATAGTCATGCCTTAGGGCCCAGAAACTCTCCTCTCTTGGGCAGAGGGACAGTTATGTATAGCTTTATGCTCAGTGAGAAGTACTTGTAGTTTCTAGCAAGGTTGGAAACAATCAGAATGTCCAGTGATAGGAGCATATGATGGTTTTAACAGGCTGTTGTTTATTGAGCCCTTAGTCCAGTCATAAAGCTCAAAAGCTACTGAGCTGTAATCCTCAGGACAGCAAGTATGATTGAATAGTTACGTATTTATTTATTTACTGCTGATCCTGGGGCTTGAACTTGGAGTCTGGATACTACCCTTGAGCTTTTTTTTTTTTTTTTCCTCTGTTCAAGGCTGGTACTCTGCCACTTGAGCCACAGTTCTGCTCTTGGTTTTTGTTGGCTAATTGGAGATGAGTGTCACAGACTTTTCCTGCTCAGGCTGGCTTCAAACTTCAATCTTCATACCTCAGACTCCTGAGTTGCTGGGATTACAGGTATGAGCCACCAGACCTACTAAGAGTTAACAAAAAATGTAAGGGCCAGGCACTGTGGCTCACAGCTATAATCCCAACTATTTGAGAGGCAAAGTTCAGGAGGATTGCAGTTTGGAGTCAGGCTGGTCAAAAAGTTAGCAAGACCTTCATCTCAACCCACAAACTAGGCATGGTGGTATATACCTGTGTCCCAGTTACACAGAGAAATAAATAGGTGATCGCAGAGGCTGGCTCCCAGCAAAATCATGAGATCCTGTCTGAAAAAGAGCTAAAGCCAAAAGGTGAGGAGTATGGCTTAAGCGATAGAGTGCCTGGCTAGCAAGCATGAAGCCCTACGTTTAAACCCCAGTACCCCCCCCAAAAAAAAAAAAAGAAAACAAGTGAGTGTTGTGTTGGTTTCCTGCAGCAGCCATAGAAAATACAGCCCTCTGAGGGGATCCCAGTGACAGGAATCTATGATTTCATAGTTCTGGAAACCAGAAATCCCAAGTTCAGATGGATCCTGGACCTCCTCTGACTGGTGGTGGTGGCTGGCCACTTCTGGTTTCCTTAGCTGATGGGTAGGTGCATCCTTCAGTTCTCCTCGTAACTGGGCCTCTGTGTCAGGAGAGCAAGTGCACCTCGTGTAACCCTAAATCATTTAACCTGTAGTGGTGCTCTTTCCCAGTCACTTCAGATCTCCTGGGGAGCATAGTTCCACCCATCACGAGTAGGTAGATGTGAGCTAGACGGTGTTGCTGAGGATTCTGTCCTGAGATCGTAGTTTTAAGATACATCCTTAGGAAATGGTGTATGTACACATTTTAAGGTACGAATGTACACAGGTGAGTGGTACTCATAAAAAATCAGGGAAGGAAAAACAGAATGGTAAAATAGTGTCATACTTATTTGACGGGATAATACACAGCCATATGTTGTTTTTTTTTTCTGGAAAATAGGTAAATAATTCTTTTCTGTTTGAGCAGTACTGGAGTTTGAGTTGAGGGCCTCCCACTTGCTAGGCAAGTGTCGCAGCAATGGAGGAGGCTCCCAGCTCTTTTGCTTTAATTGGTTTCTCAGATCAGTTTTATACTTTTGCCAAGGCCAGCCTTGAGCCTTCATCTTCCTGTGACTTGAACTGGGCACTGCCCCTGAACTTGTTTTGCACAAGGCTAGGACTCTAGCACTTGTGCTACAGTGCCGCTTCTGGCCTGTTCTGTATATGTGGTGCTGAGGAACGGAGCCCAGGGCTTTATGCCCTGCCCCATTTTGCCTCTGAGTAGCTGCAATTACAGCCATGCACTACCATACCTGGCTTTTTTTTTCCTTGCTAACTATTCTGACCTCAAACTGCAATCCTCCTATCCTTGCTTCCTAAAGAGCTGGAATTACAGTCATGAGTCATCATGTCTGGCCCAGAAAATAGGTAATTTGTATCATTAAACATGATTCAAAACATGGTATGATCAGATCACACTTTGTTAAAACAGTATAGATTTTCTTAAGTACGCCCGGATAAAAGGACAGAATACAGCAAAAATATTGGCAGCAGTTGCTTTAACTGTGAGATTGGAGATGACTTTAATCTCTTTTAAAATTACTCTGTTTTCTCTGAATTTCTTTGATGAACTTGTAGTTAACTTACAGAGCTGGGCACCAGTGGTTCACATCTAGCTACTTAGGAGACTGAGATCTGCTTTAAGATGACTCAGTAAATATGACTTGTTAAATATTGTTTGCCGGGGAGACAAATGATGTGAGACTCAAATCTTCAGTTAACCAGCAAAAACCTGGACCTGCATTTGTGGGCGAAAAGAAAGTGAGAGTAAGGGGCTGAGTTCAAGCCCCAGTACTTAGAACAAAAAAAGAAAAGAAAAGAGGGAGTAGTGGGGGAGGGGAGGGAGGGGAGGAAAGAAGGAAAAAACTCACATTTGTAGAGTACTTGGGATACTGCTAGCATCCCATGTAATGAGTATTTGTACTGGTCAGCATGTAAAATACATCTTTGAGTGTTTTCTGCAGGATTTTCATAACTTCCTACTGGAGTCAAGTTTATGTAATTCCTAAACAATTCAAAGAAGTGTAAAAGTTGTAAACAGGATATTGATGATGAACAGTTTTTTTATCTGTGTGTCAGCTCTGTGGGCAAAAGTTTTTGGATTGCTTTGTAAAAATTGTTTAGTTTATGCAAATTATTTTATTGTTTCAGTTTGCTGTTATGTTATGAAAGCCAAATCAGTTTGTTTTTAGGTTATTTCTTAAATCTCCTTTATTTTTAGGTTAAAAATTTTGCAGTTATTTATCTTGTGGATATTACAGAAGTACCTGACTTCAACAAAATGTATGAGTTATATGATCCATGTACTGTCATGTTTTTCTTCAGGTATGTTATTTTAAAGCTGTTATTAAAATGGGGTATTGTTTCTTTGGAAGTCTGATGGGACAGATTCTTTTATTATTTAGAAGTCAATCCATGCAGTCTTACCACAATGCAGATTTTATCACAAGGCAGTATGAATCTTTGAAATAATTTTCAGAGTAACAGTTCCCATTTTAGCATTTACTCAGTAACAAATTACTTTTTAAATAACTACTCCCAAACCTTTAAGTATAACCAGCTTATTGATGAAAATTGCCTTAAGATAACTCAGTCATTAAGTGTGATGTCATTAACTTTATTTGATGTCTTTTATAAGTGCCAAAAGAAAGCCTTAACTTTACTTTGGTTATAAATACAAGATTATCAGCTCAAAAATTCAAATGTATGGATTCAACTTAGAAAGAGATCACCATTTGACATTGCCTTTATTTGTCAAGATTCTAGATAGTTGGTACATAGCAATATGGGTATTAGGCCACCTTCTAGAGCACGGCTCCTAAATGCTAAGGAAGATCTGGGTAGGTGGTATCCGTGTGTGTTAACTTTCTTTTTTGCAGATATGGCAGCATAAACCAGTGCCATTTATGAGTTCATAGTTCTTGATGCAAGGTCTTGTAAGGTTCAGGCCTAAGTTGAGGTCTGTGTGCTTGAGTCTGCTTTGCTGCATTGAGGCTCTTAGCCAAATGTGACAAACTCACCTTAGGAATCTGTCCACAGTCTCTTTCCTTCCTCTCTCCTTTCTTCTGTCAGCATGGCCACACTTTTCTTAAGAGGTTCCTCCACGTTCACAAACAGCATCAGTGAGGGTATTCTTTTGACACTATCTCTCTCTCTCTCTCTCTTTTTTTTTTGGTCCGGTCGTGGGGCCTGAACTCTGGGCCTGGGCATTGTCCCTCAGCTCTTCAGCTCAAGGCTAGCGCTCTACCACTTGAGACATAGCGCCACTTCCTGCTTTTTTCTTTTTGCTTATGTGGTGCTGAGGAATTGAACTCAGGGCCTCATGCATGCAAGGCAAGCGCTCTACCACTGAGCCACCTTCCCAGCCCTGACATTATCTCTCTTGACTTACTTTGTGATGTTTACATTGGACACATCGGTGACCGCAGAGCTTGGACGCTCTCCCTGAGGTTTTCGCTCAAGGATGGTACTCTACCACTTTGAGCTACAGCTTCACTTTGGTTTTCTGGTGGTTAATAGGAGTGTCACAGACTTTCCTGCCTAGGCTGGCTTTGAACCTGGATCCTCAGATCTCATCAGCCTCCTGAGTAGCTAGGACTACAGGTATGAGCCGTCAGTGCCCAACTTTGATAACTTCACTTTAAAGCTAATTGATTTGGACCCTTAATCACATGTGTGAACTTCCCCTTATAATGTAACAGAATCACAGTTAAGAAGTCTTACCGTGTGAATGGTAACCCCTCTGTACAACACCTTAATTACAACAATAAAATTATATTAAAATAAAAACACAAAATAAAAGCATCAATGATAACAAAAAGTCTTGCTTTGTATTCACAGAATCATGGGGAGTATTTCATTATTTTTCATATTGCAACCTGCCCTCTGGCTTCTAAAGATTTGTACCTTGCCCATAAGCAAACACAGCGACTTTACTGAGAACCCCACAGTATTGATTCAAAATTCAGCACCATCTTGTCCAGATCATTCAAGACAGGTGTGGACAAGGGTTCTGTGGGGTGTCCACACAGCTCTGTGTACTGTTTCCCTTTCTGTGTGGGCCTATGAAGCTGATAAGTGAACTTCAATATGGCTGGGGCAGGCCCAAGAAGCAGGCTTGTCTCAAACGAAATCTGAAACGCTGGAGGCTCCCAACCAAGGCTGAGCAAATGCGTTAAGTGGCAAGGCCTGTCAGTTTTCTTCTGCCTCTATATTGTTCCTACTTGGGAGCAGTCTGCCCAAGTTTCCTTTTTTATGTTTGTAACCAGGTGGTTTGCCAGCTGTGTTAAGGCCATTGCTTTATTGTTATTATTATCAATTTTATTTTTTGGTTGGTCGAAGAGTCTGAACTCTGGGCCTGGGCGCTGCCCCTCAGCTCTTCAGCTCAGGGCTAGCACTCTACCACTTGAGCCACAGCACCACTTCCAGCTTTTTTTGCTTATACGGTTCTGAGGAATCAAACCCAGGGCCTCATGCATGCAAGGCAAGCGCTCTACCACTGAGCCACTTCCCAGCCCCGGCCGTTCCTTCTTTTTCCTGGTCTCCCTTGCTAGTGAGAGACGGAGGCGTACCCTTCATCTGCTTTAACCGAGTGCTCTCTCTGTGCTTCCAGGGTCTCAGTAGGAAACTGTCCACGTTTTTTTTTTTTTTTCCTGTGCCACGCACTCAGTAGTCATTTCTGAATTTCAGCACCTCATCCTTTGTAGAAACGGAGAATGTATTCTTATTAATTTATTTTTAATTTTTTTTTTTGCCAGTCGCAGGGCTTGAACTCAGGGCTTCTTTTGCTCAAGGTTAACACTCTTACCACTTGAGCCATAGTGCCACTTCTGGCTTTTTCTGTTTACTTGGCACTAAGGAATTGAACCCAGGGCCTCATGCATGCAAGGCAAGCGCTTTACCACTGAGCCACCTTCCCAGCCCTCTTACTAATAGTTCACATGCCATTTTGTCTCTCTTTCCTCCCATTTTTACTATGCAGCACCTTCGAAGACTTTGCTTGGAACTTTCCTCAGGTTTGTTACCTGCAAGTGCAGCTTTTCTCATAGCTGCAGGAGCGTGTCCTTGTTTTCCATGTATCAAGGATCCCCTCTCCTGCATTTGAGAAGCAGGCTCCTCTCTAAGTAAGGGAGAGGAGTGTCGTTAGAGCTAGAGATGTTGCAGTGGCAAGGAGATTGTAGGGAACGGCTTTAGGAGGCCTCATTGTGACTGATGTCAAACTTGTATTAAACAGAGACCCGGAATTCTAGGTCAAGCTGAAAGAATGTCCAGGGCACTTTATGGATCAAATATGTACATTGAGAGCGTAATAGGCTCCTCAATGTGTGGCGCTGGGGCGTAAGATGAGATCCTGCTCTCATACAATCACGTAATAAAAGGAACAGCTAAGCAATAAGCAAACAGTTATAGAAATCTAGAGGACACTTATTTAGACAGACATAACGGTGAAAAAGCCTATCTTCAATCACACAGGGCTGTAAGAATACATAAAAGAAGTCATGTTCTCTAGTGAGAGATTGGTACCAAAAATACGGGAGATGGGTTGTAGAGCAGAGCTGACACATTAAAAGTGGTAGGAGGGACTGCATATCCCTATTCGGGGAATCTCGCTATTAGAGGTTATCTTAAAAGCAAAACAGAAGAATGCTCTTGATTAGCCTTTAGGCTGCTAAGCACAGAGGTCCCACATAGAACCCTGTCTGGAATAGGGTTGAAGCCAAATATGTGATCCTGTAAAAATAAAAAGTTAACCTAACAAAAACTGATCTTCAGCAAACCAAGAATAAGTCCTATAGGTACAATGGACCGATAGCATCTTTACTGTGGCAAGTGCAAATACAGATTTCTAGCCTCTTGAAAGAAAAGCACCTAAAGGATCATCTGTTTCCTGGTCACATAGGTAGAAGTTGTCATTCTCATTTCAAAGGGGTGAGCCTTTCAGTAAAATTTGTACTAAGTGCTTGAGAATATAACAAGAAAAACTCACAAATTGCTTTTAAGGAAAATTAGTACAACTCTGGAAAATTATGTGCCTTTCTTTCCAAAGGACAAAACTCTGTCCTTTGTCCTTTATCTTTCAGGACATCTATCCAGAGGACATATAAAAATATTGGAAGAACTTGGGAGTCACAGGATTGCATTTTTAGAAGTAGCATTTAGGTTGTGTCCTTCTATCTTTGAGACATGATCTCTCCCCTTGCTTATGTATGTCCTTAAATCATGCCAACAAGAGCTTGGGACAGCAGGAAAAATGGTACTTTATCGAATTCTTCCTGTGAGATTGCTTTCCCTTTCTTTTTCAGGAACAAACACATCATGATTGATTTGGGCACTGGCAACAACAACAAAATTAATTGGGCCATGGAAGACAAGCAGGAGATGGTGGACATCATAGAGACCGTGTACCGGGGTGCCCGCAAAGGACGGGGATTGGTGGTCTCTCCCAAGGACTACTCCACGAAATACAGATACTGAGCATGCCCCCCTTAGCCTGTGCGTCAATATTCGGAGTCATTTCCATGTGGAAGAAATCTCAGCTGTTCAAAGCCTTTGGAAAAGTGTGTGTGAATCAAGGGCAGGAGGGTCCTTGAGATGAGGGCATCATGGCCTTAATTAGCTGAAGCAAATAAACTTCCAGTGAAGGAACAGTGGTAATTCTCTCTGGAAACTTTGGTGTGTGAATGTTTGGTGGCAAGAGTTCCTCCGGTTCCTGTCTTTATTTACCCTTGGAATGAAGTCAGGGAATGTGTCTTATGTGGCTTGTTTAGTTCTGCGTATTTGGCTGGTTTGCTAAGATTGTCATAGCAAAAAATACCATAGACTCAGCAAAGAAATGTGTGGCCTCTCAGCTCTGGAGACAACCCTGAGATATAGGCGTCTCAGGTTTGGTTCCAGCTGAGACTATGGGAAGAATCCATCTCAGACCTCCCTCTGACTGGAGGTTGACATTTTTTGGCTTGTAGATGATTTATTCTAATCTTTATCTTCATGTGCTGTCTCTAAATTTAACTATTTTTGGTGACAGTTTTAGAGCTTGATCTGGCTGGGCACCAGGCCTGGACGCTGTCCCTGAGCTTTTGTTCAAGGCTAGTGCTCTACCACTTTGAGCCACAGTGCCAATTCCAGCTTTTTAGTAGTTGATTGGAGAGTCTCATGCACTTTTTTTTTTTTTTTTGCCCTGGCTAGTGTTAAATCCTCAGATCTCCAAGTAGCTAGGATTACCAGTATGATCTACTAACACCCTGCTAATATTTATCTTTTTGCAAGGATACTAGTCACATTGTGTTAGTAGCCCGCCTCACCCCTGCATGACCTCATCTGTGATGAGGCTAAAATTAATTATATAAATCTTGGGGTGGCATCACTGACCTCGAACAAGAAGTAGAATTAAACACTGTTAGGGTATTTAATCTTTACATTTCAAAGAGGATAATACAGCAGTACTTGTTTGTAGGTTTCCCTTTCGTAAGCCCACGTCTGGTGTTCTCATCGTATGTTCTGAGGAAATCATGTCGCCTCAGTCTAAGCTATCTAATGTAAAGTCAAGAGGCGCCAGTGGTGCCTCTCATGGGTGGCAGGAAGAAGCTGGGTCCTCCCTTCCCTTCTTGGCACGTACACACTCTGAAATGGAAGCAAGTGGCCACATCTGGACCTGCCTCGTGCCCTCCTTCCTTCCGAGTGACCCTGGGCAGGCGCTGCTTGGCGCGCCTCTAAGATCCTCTACGATCCTGTCCGTACAGGAGAACGGGTAAGCCTGCTTGGCGCATTCATTAGCATGTAAGAAGCACTGCTAGGTGGAGTGGCAGTAGGCCTGCCGTGGGTAGGCCGATTCATTGTCATTATTAAAACACACATTCTTAAAAAAGAATGAAACAAGTTTTTTTTTTTTTGGGTCTGGTTGTGGGGCCTGAACTCTGGGCCTGGGCGCTGTCCCTCAGTTCTTCAGCTCAAGGCTAGCGCTCTACCACTTGAGCCACAACGCCACTTCCGGCTTTTTTCATTTTGCTTATGTGGTGCTGAGAATTGAACCCAGGGCCTCAGGCATGCAAGGCTCTACCACTGAACCATCTTCCCAGCCCTGAAACAAGTTCTTAAGTACACATACAAATAAATTTCCTGGGTTGGGAATGTGGTTTAGTGGTAGAGTGCTTGACTACCATGCGTGATGTCCTGGGTTCAGTTCCTCAGTACCACATACACAGAAAAAGCCAGAAGTGGTGTTGTAGCTCAAGTGGTAGAGTGCTAGCCTTGAGCAAAAGAAGCTCAGGGACAGTGGCCAGGCCCTGAGTTTAAGCCCCAGGTCGGGTGCTGGTGGGTGTCACCTGTCATCCTAACTACTCAGGAGGCTGAGATTCAAGGGTCATGGTTCAAAGCCAGCCCAGGCAGAAAAGTCTGTGAGAAATCTTATCTCCAGTAAACTACTCAGAGAAAGCCAGAAGTCACTCTGTGGCTTAAGTGGTAGAGCACTAGCCTTTGAAGAAGCTCAGAGACAGCACTCACACTCAGAGTGAGTTCAAGCCCCAGGACTGGTACAAAACAATTCAAGCATCAGAATTCATATTACATAGGTTATTACTCCAAAAGAACGGTTTTTATGGGGCTGGGAAGGTGGCTCAGTGGTAGAGCGCTTGCCTTGCAAGCCTGAGGCCCTGGGTTCGATTCCTCAGCACCATATGAGCTAAAAGAAAAAAGCCCGAAGTGGCGCTGTGGCTCAAGTGGTAGAGCGCTAGCCTTGAGCTGAAGAGCTGAGGGACAGCGCCCAGGCCCAGAGTTCAGGCCCCATAACTGGACCCCCCCAAAAAAAAAACGGTTTTTATTAACATCTTCAAGTCTGTAAGAAAAAGTTAATATATAATTTCCAATAAATACACTAATTTTCTGTAATTATAACTTATGTAAGCTAAATTCAGCCTACAGAAAAACTAAAATAATAAAAATTTTCTTTTACTTAGATGGGAATCAGTGAGAACAACAGTCTGAATTTTAGTGCATGCTGGGAAAGAATTGTAGCTCACTGGAGGTAAAAGGTAATAAAATGGAGTTATAGAGGAGTGATTACGAAGGGGCCCAAACTCCCCTCTAATACTAGTGAAGGCTTGGAGAAGCCTGAAGGTAAAGTCACAAACCCTGGAGAAGAGCAGGGAGCCGCTCTGCGTGGGGCGGGGACGGTGATGTCAGTGTGTCGGCGGCTTCTCCGCTGCCTCCGTTTCCTTCCCCTTCCTTAGTGTGGCTCGAACCCGGCTGCACTGGAGGCAGTCGGTCACCGGGCAGTCGGGGCGGGGTCTGTCTGGAGGAGGGGCGGGGCTGGGGTGCGGGGCGGGGTCTGTCTGGGCGGGGCCTGCCCGGGGG